ACAAACTGACTTGAATTTTCAAGTACAGACGGTACCAATTGATAGGATTTGGGTGAGTCTAGGTACAATTTGGGATGTGAAGCTAGTACAGAAGGAGTATATTTTAAGAAAACTAAGGCACACGAAGGTTTAGATTAGAAAATTGGTAGAATTGACGGGCGAGGCTACATCACCAGGAGGGGAGAGCGGTACCAGAGCAGAAGGTTGGTTAGAATATTGTCTTTACATGACATTGTTGCCTTGTAGCTCAATGCCAAGGCGGCGCTTCACCGTAACGATGCCGGTGGAAAGTCTGTGAAAGCATCAAATCAACGGTCCAATGCTGGAAAAAGAGATGACAGCAACTCACCAACGGACGCTGGAAGTCATCTCGAGGGCACTATCAGGCCACAAAATCGAGGTCAAATCAGAACCAATCGGGACAACATCTTCGATACCTTTAGTTTCAAGGGACTGGCTGATGCCTTTTTCCTTGCCTCCTGCTTCGACTCGCCCAGAGGTCACAGCCATGGCGGAAGCGGTTCACGCATGACTGCGCACACGGACAGCCAAAGTTGGCGTCCTCGCAGGGACACTTCGGGTAACAGCCTCGTTGGACGGCGTCCCGGCGTGCTTGTCCTTCAGTCTAATGCTGTGGGCACAAACAGCACTTGACTACATGCCTTAACTACAATTGTCGACTTAAAGACAGCAGCCCCGATCAAGTCCGGTCTACAAGTTAACCGCTGTAGCTAGCGCACTATCTGTATGGATGAGCACCCACATGAAATGCGAAAACATGCTCAATTTGCCTTTACCATTCGAACTAATTTTGTTTCTATTCCTATCTACTTGTAAAGTTAACCAGCCATCTAATTTAGTTTATATTTTTCTTTCATTATTCACTAGCCCATTCGGTATCAACCTTGTGGGCTCGTCAACTCTCCCATCAGCTAACACACTTGCCCAAATGTGCATCCACTCATCCATTCATCCACCGTTTTTGTCTATGTAACCGTTTATATACTAATAAATATAGCTTATTTGTTAAGCTTTCTATCTCTATTATCTATCCATCTTATCGGGTATAATCTGTACCAGTTTAGCTTTATCTGCCTATCTTTTAATACACCCAAGTTGTTAGTTGTCTTGCACTCTAATTGTCTTATCATCAATTTCTATTCTATATATCCATCTATCTATCCTTTTTTCTTTTTGTGTATATATATATATATATATTTATTTATTTATGCGAAGATCCCTCGGGAAGATGGCGGCGGATTCCTCTTGGCCAGTTGTTTATTAGCTCTACCGGAGCGTTCATGTTGACTGTCTTTTCAAAGTATTCACCTTCGATTCCGGTAAAAACATGCTAATATTTCGTTTTGAGTAGGTTTTCGAGACTGCCAGTAAAGCAAATCTATGAGTTATGCTCACCATACTTCGTTTAAGGTGATGACAGACTGGTAGTAGAATTTTCCCACAATGATATGTGTAGAGCTGATGTTTTCTTTGAATTTCACACAATCTTGCTTTCCCAAAAGGTGTTCTCATCCAGGGTGAGCTGCAGTTTCAGCCTCGTCTAGTTCTTATCAATACTCATAGTTGGAGTCGAACCATGACAGTGCAGCATGCCATCTCGAATCTGCAGCCCACCCTAGATGATACCACCTTTTGGGAAAGCAAGATTATGAGAAATTCAATGAAAACGTCAGCTCTACTCATATGATTGTGGGAAAATTCAACTACCAGTCCTTTCTCACCTTAAACGGAATAGTATGAACATAAAACATGCTAAGTTTCATCCTTCATACGACAGAATTCATCAGAGCATCATAACCATTGTACAAATTGTAGTCAAGCTAACGAGTCAAGATAATTCACCTTCTAATTCCTACATGCTCATTAACCTGAATATGGTTGTAACTAGAGTAGCGGGCTGTGATGTTGTCCATCAACTGACAGATGGTTTTCACCGAAATCAAAGAAGATTGCCACGGAAACAGCTCGAATAAGAATTTTTCAGTAAAACCAATCGACAGCTGGTCAATAGGAATCCGTCGTCTTCTGGTGCCATCGACCTTCAAAGCTCTTCACCAAACACCTTCACTCTATCTATATATCCAACCATCCATTCAACTACCAATACATCTATCTATCTATCTATCTATCTATCTATCTATCTATCTATCTATCTATCTATCTATCTATCT